TTCATGAGGAGACTAATGCGTTTATATGATTAATCTAATACAACGACAACAACAACAAGCCTTTATTTCACTAAGTGGTGTCGGCTACATGAATCCTTTTTCTCCATTGCATCCTATTGAGTGTTATATTTTCATTTATTTCTAATAAATTAAGATCATTTTTTTAACAGTATCCCCATGTCTTTCTTGGTCTATCTCTACCTTTCTTAACTTAAGTCGAGTCGAAAACATCTTCTCTCCTAACCGGATCATCAGATGATCAAAGTTTAATGTGACCAAATCATCTAAGATGACCATCTCTAATTTTGTCCGTCGCTGGAGCAACACCGACCCTATCACAAATATATTAATTTTCGTATTTTGTCCCTATATTAATTTTCGTATTTTGTCCCTATGTGTCAAGCCACTTGTCCATCTAAGCATTCTCATCTCGGCAACAATTAACTTTCTTTTATGCTTCTCTTTTAAAGGCCAACATTCTGCGCCATAAAGCATTGCATGTCTCACCCCCATCTTATAAATTTTTCCTTTCAGTTTAAGCTATAGTTTTCTATCACACAATAGGCTTGAAGCATTTATCCACTTTAACCAACCAACTTGGATTCTACTAATAACATCCTCATCTATATCACCATTACTTTGAATTATAGATCCGAGATATCTAAAATGTTCACACCTTTTAATGATTTGATCACCCATAGTTATAACTATGCCACTAGAGCAACTACTACTAAAGTTACATTCCATATATTTAGGTTTAGTTCTATTCAAACGAAGGCCTTTAGACTCCAATATTGACCTTCATAATTCAAGTTTTTTCTGAACTCTTTCTCTAGACTTATCCACAAGAAGAATATCATTAGCAAAAAGCATACACCATGGTATATCCTTCTGTAAATTTCAAGTAAGAGCATCTATAACTAAAGTAAAAAGATATAGGCTTAAAGTCGATTCCTGATGTAATCCAACTAAAATAGGAAAATATTTGGTCATTTATCCTTCTGTTCAAAAACAAGTAAGAGCTCTAGTATATATATTTTTAATGAGTTGAATATAAGTCATATTGACACATTTCATTTCTAGAACTCTCCAAAGGATTTCTCTTGGAATCTTATCGTAAGCTTTTTCAAAATCAATAAAAATCGTATGTAAATCCTCTTTATTCTCTTTATACTTCCCCATCAAACCTCTCAATAAATATATAGCTTTTACAATAGATTTGCTTGACATTAGTCCTAACCGATTATGAGAAATCTTAGTAACACGTCTTAACCTATTTTTAATTACCCTCTCCCATAATTTTAAAGTATGACACATAAACTTCATTAGTCTATAATTTGCACACTCTTGTGCATCATCTTTATTCTTAAAAAGGGGACCAAAATACTCTTCCTCCTTTCCTTAGGCATCTTTTTTATTTTAAAAATAATATCAAAGAGTTTATTAAGCTAATAAACTCCCAAATTTCCCAAATATTTTCACTTCAATAAGGATATCATCAGGTCCTGCTTGTTCTACTGATTAAGCTAACTTGGTATTTTCTTGTGCTAGCCAAGTAGTTCATTCAAAAAATATTATGCTTTTTCCCTGCAAACTAAGATTAGAGTAGTTAAATGCACTACTTTGTGTGAAAGTGTTTTTCAAATGTTTGATTTGAAAAATTAGAAAAGAACTAACCTTTTATGCATTTTTCACCTTCGAAATCAAATTGCTAGTAGTTGTCCTAGTCTTTTTAACCTACACAATTGAAACTATGCACCTCTCCATGATAATGATAATTTGGAAGCTGCCATCTTTTAAAGGTATCATCAATTTAATGGAGTGATTACTTAACCTAACTGGGGTAATTATTGATTGCAACTTTAACTACTTCTATCATGCACATTGAGTATACTAAATTGAGAAAGCATTGCATTGTATTGTTATTTTTGTCTTCATTTTAATCATGATCAATGACAAGCTCTGCTCTACAATTAGGGTTGTCAAAAAAACTCGTTGTTCTTGAACAACTCATGTTTGATTCATTCGTTAAGTAAACGAGTCAAACACGAACAAATTTTTTGAGCTCAATTTATAAACAAGCCAAACATGAACAAAGATTCGTTCATTCGTGTTAGCTTGAATTAATTAAATAATAAAAAAATAACAATAAGATAATATTTATAGATTAAATTTTTATATTTTATTTTAAAAATATTAAATTTGATTAATTTTAGCTAGGATTGCAATTGAAAAATAAAATTTTTGTGTTTTTTTATGTAAATACATAAGAATTAGGTGGTATGCATGTAAATGCCACATAAAAATTGTGTGTTTGTTATGTAAATACATAAGAATTAGGTGGCATGCATGTAAATGCCAAAAAAAGCACCCGGTCCCTCCCTCCCCCCACCTGGTCCCTCCCTCAAAACACAAAAAATTGTGTTTAATTTGTAAATACATAAGAATTGCGTGGTATATATGTAAGTGCTCGAAAAACCTTCCCGCATCCGGCCTTCCCTCTAGCCATGTTCCGCAAGGTCCCGCCTTCCATGTGCGGCTCCACCTAGCTCATTTAATTCCACATCGCAAAGTTTTGAAGAAAAGCTTTACCCATGCTTTTTAAATTATGAATTTCCCTTTTACGAAAGGCATTTTTACGCAGTCACATTACCCGTGGCCACATGGCTTTGGGCCTGTGGTAGTTTTAAAATAAAAACTAAATTCTGTATTTGATTTATTAGTTTTTTATAATTTTTTTTTTGAGCTGAATACGAGCTTAATTCAAACAAAAAAGTTTGAATCAAGTCAAACACGAATAATCAATTCAAAAGTTATTTTGAACACGAACCAAAAAAAAAAAAAAAGAACGAGTTGAACACGAACGAGCCTTAGGCTTGCTCAAGCTCGACTCATTTACACCTCTTAATCCAATTGAAACAAAATTGAGAATAAACAGTCAACCTAGATTTATGTTCTATAACAAATGGTAAGCAGTTCAAAGAGTTTAGATTGATTTACTTGCTATTTTTTCCTAACCTATATATGGCCTGTGCATGAGTATTGGGATGTATTTAACTTGATAATGTCTGGATGGTTTTTAAAACATTACTTAATTTCTGCTTGAATTATATTTTGTTAATGGTTTTAAAAATATCTGATTAGCAACATAAAATTTATAACTTTTATCAACATGGATGCATTAATAACAAATATAATGCTATCTTAGTTAAAGATGAATACATCAAGGAAATATTGAAGTACTAATTTGACAATCTTTAAATGAGAACTTTTATGAAAAAATTCTTTTTTAAGAGCATAACAATTAGATTATGAGGTATATGAATCCTAAAAATAAAATGCATTGTGCCCTAAAAAAGATGTATAAAGATACATTTTTATGCTCAAATAAGATATCATTTAAGCTTTTGAGAGTTATGGCTATGTGGGATTGTTGGCTTAATAAAATTTTCTACTAAAGTTTGTAGATTAAGAGGATGCAAAATGATTGGTAGTTAAACATTTTATTTATGAACAAAAAAATTATTTATACTTGTGTGAATTATGTGGAATCAAATATGACTCATATAATGATCCGGTGAGAAATAATAATAGAACATTAACTTCAAATTATTATATTACTATTGTAGAATCAATTTAATTTCATGCTTGTAATGTTCACCATTAAGATAATTTTTGTGTTGAGAAAGGATCTTATGTTATTTCTTAATCTTGAGAAAACATATAGTGGGTTACTAATGAGTGTTGATATTCTTTAATAAAAAAACTATATCAAATATACGTTGATGTGATTAAAAATGTGTAAGATGAAGCATTGGCTATTAGAAGCAATTAAGAACAATGAAAAAATTTTTAGTCACATTACGACTACGCCAATGATCAACATTTAGCTGTCTTTTTTTACTTGTTATATAGATGCTTAGAAAGGGCATTCAAAATGAGGGGCAATCGTGAATGCATGTTTTTTGTAGATGGAGGTTATAATCAACAAGACAGTTGTTCAGTTAGTTGAGAAAGATAGCATAATGAATAAATATTTAGAAGAGAAAATGTCTTAGAATTTTATAAAATGAATAGCGAGTATAATAAATAAATTTTAGTGGGTTATTATAAATGTCAATCAATCAATATTACCAAAAGATGAAGTGAAGCCTAAATGTTATGCGTTTAAATTAAATATCTTGGATCTATTATATGCAAGATGATGATATAGATGATGATGCAACTTTAGAGTTTAGTTTGTGTTGTTAAATTGAGAAATGTCGCAGAGTACTTCATAATGCTAAATATTTTATAATTTTAAAGGAAAACTATATACAACTATAATTAGGCCAACTATTTTGTCAAATTGGAGGGTTGTATGATGGGGTAATCATTGATTCTAAGCTGATTATGAAGTAAATGAAAATGTTAATATTGATGGATGTGTTAAAAAATTAGGAATGGTAGATTAAAAATGATTATGCTAAAGTGATGGGGGGAATATCATCCATTGTAGATAAGGTAGTTGAAAATCGACATAGACAAATTTGACACATAAATACATAGAAGAAGACGAGCCAATACGAGTAGAAGAATTAATAAAAATTAAGAAGAAAAGGTAAATTTAAGGTTTCTTTGATAAAAGTTGTGGAAGAAGATTTGCACAAATTAGACTTAATACCTTATACTACACTCAATATGATCAAATGGATAATGAGGATTTATCGAGCAAGCTCCAAATGTTTGCATAAGCCTGAATAAGACGATAATGACAGGTAAGAATGAATCTGTAGGAGACTATTCATTGTCTACTTGCCTCTAAATTTAGTGATTATGTCTATTCTTTATACATCATGCATAGAAGCCGGTGGCATTCACAATTGTGGCATGAATCCCATAAAAAATTGTCTATTGTTTACTCACTTTATATGCAAGCTGTTCATTGCAGCACTCTTGGTCTGGAAATGAGTTTTACATTTCATTTAATTTGGACTAAATGGAGGTAGCATTATTGGCAGGGAGTTCCTCCTATAGATAAAAGAATGACAAATCCTGATGCATGGATCACATCAGTTTGCAAGAAGCTTGCAACATGGTGGTCTTGGGTCGGTTGATGTTCTTGGTTCAATAGATTGATTTATCTTTTGATTCTACTTAATGAGCAACTTTAATTTAACTATTACTGACCGTTTGCCAGATTGCTGAAGGAAAGATTCCACTAAGAGCTGATCGTGGGTATGTATAAATGATATCCACACCTCAGGTAATTCTTACATCTTATTTATCTAACATTTCTGTCATGTGTAGGAGGGAGATACCATTATACAAGCAACTTGATCCAACTACTCGTCTACTGATTTTAAAAGCACTCTGTGATGTCCGTGCAGAGGTTATTCTTTCATTGCTAATACCTGGGAAACTGTATTGGACTTGATGGCATTGCTGTCATTTTCCACTGCTCTTGAGCAAGTCCAATTGCCAATAAGTTTGGTTCTTTTTTAAAATAACGTGCGACATTTTACTTTGCTTTCAAGTAACTGATGAAAGTTGGGTATTTATTTGCAGCAAGATGACATATTGGAGTTTATTGCAGACGGGCTGAAAAAGGGAAACTCTGTTGGTTTTTTTCGGAAGGAAGGGATGGAGGTTGGTAACAGTGGAGTCATTTACTGGTAAGTAGAAAAAAAAACTATAGATTTGCTTTTTTGCATTGTGTTTTTTCCCTGTTATATTGTTTGGTATTATATAAAATGACCAGCACTCTCTCTGAGATCAGCAAATTATTTAACATGTATGTTATCCAATTCAAAGGAATATAATACTTTTCATCACAATTTTTCTATAAAAATTAAAATTTTGTGCTCAAGTTTGATGCAGACATGGACGTTCCTGTTTAAACAACCGTGCTATTATAGGTTTGGTGTCTTTATTCTGATCAGTGATATCATTTTTTTTTATGTTTCCCATATATATCAAATATATTATATGCATAACATGCTAGCTTTATTTCACATTGTTATTATTATTTTTTGATTTTAGGCGTTCATCATTTCTATAGAGAAAAAGAGGGAATTTTGGAAACATGATGGAAATTTTTATATTTCACTCCATAAATAGGACCCTAATTCATGAACTCATTTTGATATTGAAAGATTGCATACTCTTAAGACCACCACACTTTCCTATCTCAGCTTGGCTGACATCATTTTCTTGAACCATTTTTATCCTAGTTCTTTTATTTTTTTCAAGTTATTAAGCTTTATGATAGGTTACCAATCCATATAGTAGTTTTTTATTTACTTAAGAGCTTTCTAAAATATGCCATGAGGACCAAAAGCTTAAAGGACCTATAAAAACCCCATACTTTATACTCTTAAAACTTATTGAATAAAATTATGTTTACCGTTTGTACGGCTTGAGCTCTACTCTTTTGAGAAGCTTGATTACTAATCTCGTAAGGCATTGATGTGTCCTTTGTTATCCCCCATCTCCTACCCCTCTTCTCGCCAACAAAACTTTCTCTCATACAAGCTAGACTCATGCTGCTCCTAAACCCTTGAAACTTTCTATTAACTCCAAGATTTCTGGGTCAAAAGCCCAATATGCTTAGACTTTCTTCTGGGAATAACAACATAAATATGTTTATAACTCTTTAAACACTAATAAAAAACCCAGAAGAACACCTCCATTAGTTCCCTTATATCTCAAATTTTTGATTGGAGCATCTCATTCTTTTTTCTTTTTAAGAAAAACCAACCATTTCAAAGGTAAGATGTTCTAACTCCAACTCTATCCAAAATTCTAAAGCTAATCTTTCCTTGTCTACATAACCCTTGCACTACCATCCCAATAGATCATCAATTAAGTTGCTACCTTTATCCAAAAGTTCTTCTCACCTGACATCATATTGGTATCAGAGTCAAAGGTTTCAAGGTTGTCAAGATTAATGTGCTCAAATGTACTAGTTCCGGGAGAAATCAAATATTTTTCCAGCAGAAATCTAAGATTTTTGCTTTATAATTTGTTTTTTAAAATTAAGAATTTTAGGTCTTTTTGCAACTAGAGATTTGCTATTCTTCAAGAAAGATTAGTATTCCTATACGTAAGTTTTAAATTTTACTCCCTAGATAGATTTTTCACAGTAAAAAAAATTAAAAAAATAGCATGTTGATTGGCAACTTTATGGGAAATTCCCTTCATTCAAGTAGTAACCACCACTAAAAAGGCCAAACGTAACCTTTGCATGATACTATACCCTAAAATTTATTTGTAGTTCCTTAAATTGTAGGGTTTATTCCACAAAACAATGTCTTACCTTAAATCAAAATTAAGATTATAAGTAGAACTTATATTTCTATGATCATCGTTTGAACAGTATAAATTGTGTATTTATTAATATTTGACAGTATTGTTTGTGTTCAAAATATATAAAACTCAAAGTTATTTCTCTTTGTATAATCAGTTTTGTCTTGCATTTTTACATGCATTATAATATACTGTGCTAAACTATGTCTTTATTGCTAAATAAAAATGTCAAAAATACCTAAATTGTGTAAGGATATTTTGAAACTTAATTAGATTTATACGCCCTCGCTTCTTGGATGTTCTTTTTGCCTCAAATTCACGTCCCACACACACACCCACACATCTACCCGTCTGCTTGCGAACTCACACACACGTACACACATACACTCACACTTTTTTCTCTCATTTAAAGCATTTTCCATATCATCTATATCTCATATATTAAAAAAGCATTAAACCTTACCTACTAATGTCCCTTCTATAGTTGCCTAATAACAGAAAGAAAATATGATTCTATTAATAAAAGATTAATATGTTTTAAAATATGTTTCAAACTCTTTAGGATTAGATTCTAAACTCCACTTGAGCTTGAACCTCCGGTTCAGTTTAGAGGACTACTTGTCCAGTGAAATTAATCTAGGAAGGACATTAGGGCTCTGGATGATCCTTACATTAAAATAAGATTTGTAGGCAAACTTTTGATCTAATGAATAATTTCAACGAGTTACTAGACCGACTAACCCAAATAGAGGATTTCTTTTTGATTGGTATCACATGTATTATTATCAATTGATTAATTTTGCTGCGATAAAATCTATAAGACATGCCAAAATCTACTAGACCAACACTTTAGCCAAGGAATTTATGAATGGCAAAACCTAATGGACTTTGGCTGAGTTGAAAGAACTTTTAATGGCCAAATAATGCTCTAGGTTCCATGACAACACAAACTTTTGCTTCAGCAAGAAATCATGGCTGTGGCTGCTTATATGAACAATGACAAACTGTACCCATGATTAGAAACTTTCGAACTAGTTTAACGAATGAATAGAATCATGGCATCCCCAGACTTATAAAAGGTTTTCCACTTTGCCTTGATGATTGAGAAACACAAGAAATTATTCTCTTTTATAAAACTTGGAACCTGATCTATTCATTTTCCACATTGAAGTCTATTGTAGGACCCATCACCTTAGCGTCAACTAGCATTCATTTGTCCCCCTCTTTGAAACCCCTTGAAGCCCTAACGATATTATTGTTTTTTATTTTAACCGGTGCATAAAAAAAACTTATTTCTAGAGGAAGCTTAATCTTCATAATCTACTATTTATGAGAAATTTTTGAATGATAAACTGCCTTTTGAAAATGACCATGATTTCAATGATACACCCATTGCTGTTATGAGATAATATTTTTCTAATGATAGCTGTTTGTAATTAGAAATGTAAAATTATTATCGATGGTGAGAGTGCAATTGATGTTATATACACTAGTGTTTTCATCAGGACAAGCCTAACTTTGAGTTATTTCATGTTTGTTGGGTCAACCGCATTTCTATACTTATGACATCTGAATACTTGGTCACAATTAAGATTATTAATTATGAAGGTTTTATTTGACATGATGATCTCAGTATGGAGTATGAACAAGCTCATATTCTATTGGATGGACCCTATTTCTATGATAGAGATGTTATTCATTATGGTCAATAAAATGCATTTGCATTCAGATTCAATAATGAGACCATTCAATTTCTTCCTATCAAACTATGAGAGAAAAAGGCTACATGCCCCCCTTTCAAAAGATTTATTCCCACTTAAAAAATCTGTAGTAGCCCATAACAAAATGTCAACTTTAATAAGATAGTTTTACATCGTTCCAACTGAGCTACCTTGTTCTACTAGGATTCACTTTGAACACTTAGGTTTCACCAGATTTAGAAAGAATTTTACTTGGACCTTTCTTACACTTCACTTATTACATGTAAAGGATATCAACCCCATCTCATTTGGGATTTACATATCAACTATGGTTTCAAATCTTTTGAGTTTTATAATCTAACGAGCTACTTGATGAGCTATTATCAAGGGTGGAAAATCAGTGGGACCTGATGATATCCCTATTGAAGTGTGGAAATATTTAGGAGATTTGGGAGTTTCTTGGCTTACTAAACTCTTAAATATTATTTTAAAAACTAAAAGATGCCTGGGGACTGGAGGAAGAGTATTTTGGTGCTCATTTTTAAGAATAACGATGATGCACTAGAGTATGCAAATTATAGAAGAATCAAGTTGTTGTGTCATACTTTAAAATTATGTGAGAGGGTAATTGAACATAGGCTATATTTTAGTTGGATTACACCACGGATCGACTTTAAGCCCATATCTTTTTGCTTTAGTTATGGATTCTCTTAATGGACATCTCCAGGAGGATGTATCTTGTTTTATGCTTTTCGCTGATGATATTCTTCTTGTGATAAAACTAGAGAAAAAGTTTAAGAAAAACTTGAATTATGAACATCTACAATGAAATAATGGCCTTTGTTTGAGTAGATCTAAAATCAAATACATGGAATGTAATTTTAGTAGCAGTAGCTCTAGTGGCAGAGTTGTAACTATGATGATCAAATCATTAAAATGTGTGAATGTTTTAGGTATCTCGGGTCTATTGTTCAAAGTAATGGTGATATAGATGGGGATGATAATAGCAGAATTCAAGTTGGTTGGTTGAAGTGGAGGAATGCATCGGGCCTATTGTGTGATAGAAAAGTACCGCTTAGACTAAAAATAAATTTTATAAGATGGTGGGTAGTCCTACAGCGCTCTATGACATAGAATGTTGGTCTTTAAAAGAGAAGCATAAACAAAGTTAAGTGTTGTTGAGATGAGAATGCTTAGGGGGATGAGTGGCTTGACAATTAGAGACAAAATGCGAAATGAATATATTCATGATAGGGTTGGTGTAGCTCCAGTGGCAGACAAGAGAGAGAGTTGTTTTAGATGGTTTGGTCACATTAAATGTCAATCATCTGATAACCCGGTTAGCAAATTAGATGTTTTAGATTCTACTTATGTTAAGAAAGATAGAGATAACCTAAAAGGACTTGGGCGTATTGTATAAAAAATGATCTTAATCTATTAGAATTAAATAAAAAAATGACACTCAATTGGATGCAATGAAGAAAATGGATTTATGTAGCCGACCTACTTAGTGGGATAAAGGCTTGTTGTTGATGTTGTTGTATATAAGTTTTGTTTTATTGTCAAGTACTGCATTATCGAGAAATTGTTAATTCTTAGAATTTGCAAGATAGCACCATTGTAGGAAACACATAAAGCCTTGTAGATTCTTTATGCTCCACAACTTT